TCTAGTCTAGTCTAGTCTAGTCTAGTCTAGTCTAGTCTAGTCTAGTCCAGTCCAGTCCAGTCCAGTCCAGTCGTCCAGTCCTTATTCTATTCTATTCTATTCTATTCTATTCTATTCTACTCTACTCTACTCTACTCTACTCTACTCTACTCCTATCCTACCCCTTATCCTATCCTATCCCTTATCCTATCTCCGTGATGGCCAGCTGATTTTCGGACCTTCTGGGCCCACCAGAAGTAGGGAAACAGGCTGTTTCCTGCCTCTGGAGGACCTCGGGGGGGTGGGGGGGTGGGGAAGGCCCGTTTTTCTTCTTCGGCTCTTTTCTTCAGAGGGGAAGAAGCTTCTTGGATGAGGAAGCGAAATGTCTTCAAAGAAAAACCAAGGAAGTCCAGTTTCCTCTTGGAAAACAAAAAAAGGACTTTTGGGACAACCAGGACCTGGATGACGGAGGATTTCTATATCCAAGAGAGGAATTTTCAAATGACCCTTGCAGGAAATAATGGTTACCTTCGGGGCAGTTTGGCCGCTGGTTCGCCATCTTGAGAAGACTCCAGGAAGGTCTCTGCAAGGCAGAAAAATAGATTTGACGACCCTCCAGTTGAGCCCAAAATTTCTGTGGCCAAGCGAGACGGCCGTTAAGTGAGTTTTTGTCCCACTTTACGACTTTCTTGCCGCCGTACAGGTAGCCCTCGACTTACAACAGTCCGTTTAGTGAGCAAAGTTACTAACGGAGCGGAAAAATGTCCCCTTTTGACTGTTTTTCAGAGTTTCACTGCCTCCCCAGATCCAAATTCAGTGGCTTGGAGACCGGTTCATACTTATGACTTATGATTCACTTTTGTGACCTTCTGACAAGCCAAGTCAACGGGGAAGCCAGATTCACTGAACAACTCGGTTGCCAACTTATGAACGTAACCACTGTTGGCAAGAACGGTAACCAATGTCTCACTTAACGACAGGAATGTTGGGGCCAACTGTGGTCGTAAGTTGAGGACTACCTCCAGTTAAGTGAAGCTCTGCGGTCGTTCAGTGAGGAACAGGGTTGTTGAGTGAATCTGGCTTTGCTATCGACTTTGTGGGTCAGAGAGTCCCCAAAGGGGATTGTATGAGCCCAGGACTCTGCAACTGTCATAAGTACATGTCAGTGGCCAAGCCTCTGAATTTTTGGGGGGGGAAGAATTTTTTTTTAATTTTAAAACAAAAACATAAAACATAAATCCATCATACATACAATTGCAAACAGTGTGTCGGTCGGTTACAAATCTTTTGTGCTTCCTCACCATATTCATTACTTATTAATTATCTGATTTCTCATATTACCAATCTAATAAGTATCATTGTAGTATAATCTTCGTTAATCTCTTTTCATAACAAATATTTTCAATTTTTTTTTTTTAATTTGATTTATATGCCGCCCTTCTCTAGAGACTCAGGGCGGCTTACAATGCGTTAAGCAATAGCCTTCATCCTTTTGTATATTATACAAAGTCAGCTTATTGCCCCCACAAATTGGGTCCTCATTTCACCTACCTTAGAAAGGATGGAAGGCTGAGTCAACCTTGAGCCTTGGCGAGATTCGAACCTGCAGTAATTGCAGGCAGCTGTGTTAATAACAGGGTGCTTAGACCACTGTACTATCAAGGCTCTTTATACTATTTATACTATAACATTCATTTCTTCGTCCTCAATCAACAATAATCATACCATTTTGTATCATATTTTATATATTTTTACCATTCTTATGTTCTAATAGTCTCATCCCTATTTCATTTCCATATTTTATCATCTAACCATTGATAAAATAAATCCCATATCTTATAATATTGTTTATCTTCTTGTTCTCTATTTTCATCATGTGACCGGGAGGATTTGCAACACCTCGTCCTGCTCTTATTTGAGTCCTGAAGGTCTCCCTTTCAGGCTGGATAAAAATCGATGATTTTTAAATATAATTTTTTTTTAAAAAAAAGGATTTTTAAAATTTAAATCAGATTTTATTTATTTTTTTTACTTAGCTGTATTTTTCGGAGTATAAGACGCAGCTTAGTTTTTGGGGAGGAAAATAGGGGGGGGGGAATCTGCCTACCATCTGGCTAGCCTTCTTAGTCTGGTCCAGCTTCAGCACATTAGTTTGCTGGTTTTTTAATCTCCTGGTTAGGGATAAAAAGCAGCTTTTAAGGCACAGCTGAGAGGAAGCAGCAATGAGAAAAGCAGATCGCTTCACTCGGCTAGCGCCTAGTTAGGTCTGAAAAAAAGCTTCTAAAGAACAGCTGAGAGTCGGAGCAAAGCATGGAGATCCTTTACTTGTTAAAGCACAAGTGGGAGAATTGAGGGAGCAGGCAAAGCTGGGAAGATGATCGTTAGCGCCTCGTTAGGGCTGAAAAAAAGCTTCAGAAAAGCGACATTCGGACTATAAGACGCACCCAAATTTTCACCCTCTTTTAAGGGGGGAATGTTCTGCCCCAGCTACGGACCCCAAAGAACGCAGCACACACAAAATCTATACAAAGCTTATTTTACTCAAATAACTCAGTCTTTTTCAACCAAAGGCTGTTAATAAACTTCCTTAACAGCCTACAAGCATTCTAAGGTAAGGTAATCACAGTCTTACTAGAGTTGGCAGAAAGCTCAGAAGCAATTTTGCAGAGAATCCAGACGTGAAGGAAAGTGAACTAAAGTTGTTCCCTACAGCTTGCTGCAATCGGCGTTCCTCCTTAAATAGGCTAAGGGAGTGGCCAATTAGCCCCAAGCCTTACTCTCGAGGAGACCTCCTCCTGAGGAGCCACTCCTGCCTTTTGGCAGCTCTGCGCGCTCGTGCATCGAGAAGAGGATCCTCTTCTTTGTTCTCTTCACTTAAAGGAGCTTCTGAAGGCCCTGGCTGAATCCCCGCCTCTGGCACAACATCTTCTCCGGCCTCCTCATTGTCCGACTTGAGCGCCAGCTGCACAGGCTGCTGGCGCAGCACCACACCAGCCTCCTCGCTCTCGGAATCAGCTACAATCCACGCAGGCCGCTGGTGGGCCACAACAGGGCGGGGGGAAGGTGCGTCTTATACTCCGAAAAATATGGTAAATTGGATTTTTTGAATTTTTATCAAATTTATTTTAACAAAATGCTTTTGGAGTTAAAAAAAACAACTCAATCTAGAGATAGTTTTCTCTTTAAGATCCATTCATAATTTAAGTTTATTCGGCACTGAAATGGAGCTGAGTTATGTAGCATGAGGAGGCTGCTGTATATTCTGCAATATTTGCATTTGGGGTAAACTCGTCCCATGACTCCGAAGCTCTGCAAGCTAAATAGGGAGCCTTTGTTTTGTTTGCAAATAATAATATTAAAAGATTCTAAACATTTAAAAAGTTGATTTAAATCAAGCCTTTTTACTAGTGATTTAAATTGTGATTTAAATCGACTTTATTTAAATTGAATCCACCCTGTCTCCTTCCTCATCCAATATCTCATTGTGTTGTGGCTCCATTACCTGAGCCTGTGTCATTGGCAGGAGAGGACTCCGAGAGTGAAGGAGAGGAGTTGGCAAGGCCTCCCTCTCCAGGACCCTCCTCTCTGGCAATGACTTCGGTGTCCGCTGAAGAGCAAGAGATAGGGCCGGGGCCAAGCATGTCCACGCAGCCACAGGTGGACAGTGATGAAAGTAATGAGTCTTGGCTGGATCCTCGGCAGCATCGCAGAGATAAGCACACGCAACAGAAGAAAAGGCGTGCCAGAGATTAGGCTGAGTCACTGGACCACACCCCACAGGGTATAAAAGGGGGTGAGGTGGCCATTCAGACTCTGTGACGGACAAAGCTAACTACTATCGAGTCACATTGCATCTTTGGAAACAACATTATCGGCCTTGGATTTATTTTACGAACTGGACAATTCTTGACTCTGGGTATTTTGTTTATTGAGTAAAGTTCTTGGCAAGCAGCTACTGGGTTGCTGCCAAGTGTCTTATCGGAAGAATTGGTTGTCTGCCAGTTTATTTAACCCCCGGCTGTCTGTTTGTGTGCGTGTGTGAGACGGGGACAGAACACATTGGCCAGCCAAATCAGCCTCTGAAGACCCCCGACTCTTTTTCACCTACTAAGAGAGGCCTTGCCCTACCTGAAGGGGGAGAGCCAGGCTGCTTTCCCACCGGTGCAGCCCCTTCCTCGCCTTGCCCTGGTACGGATGACGAGGCACCGTCGGCCTCTCGCTTCCTCTCCGGAACCCTGGGAAAATCCTGCAGTATAAAAGAGATTTTAGGTTTTTTTAAAAAACAAAACAAGGGAAGCAGTGGTGAAATGTAAAATGTGTTGCTACCGGTTCTGTGGGCGTGGCTTGGTGAGGTGTGGCTGGGTGGGCGTGGCCAACTTTTTTTTTAAACCATTTTTTTTTACTACTCGTTCAGGCGAATAGGTAATAAAAAAAATGCTTTAAAAAGTTAAAGTTAAAAGTTAAAGCTGTGATCGTCGGAATCTTTTTTAAAGCATTTTTTACTACCGATTCGCCGGAACCGGTAGTAAAAAAATCTTTAAAAAAGAAAGGTTCCGACGATTGGGCAGCACAGCAGATTGATTGCCGCACAGTCATTGGAACCTTTTTTTAAAAACGTTTTTAAAGAATTTTTTTACTACCGGTTCGTGCGAAACGGAGCGAACCGGTAGCATTTCACCCCCGAAGGGAAGTGAATTGCAAGGACAGTGTTTCATAATTCCTTTTGAAGGACATTTTTGGGAGAGGCAGAAAAGCAGAGAAAGACCTTAATCAGGTCTTTCAGCATGTGGCTCTTTCGTCCCTCAGCTGCGGCTCCGTCGTTCAAAATATGCGTCACAACCGCATATGGCTAAAAAAATGGTTGGTTCTAGACCAGAAACAACGGAGGATCTGTTCGCCCCTGAACTGCCAAGAGCTCCCTCTTGACCCTGCCTACCTCGCAGGGGTGTTGTTCTGCGAGGATCGGTGAGACGTAAACGCGAGGAAGAAACTCACCTTACGAAAGGGCCGGTTCTGGCGATGAAACGGGAGGGCCGGGAAACCCAGGTGGGGGGGCTTGAGGGAGACGGGTGGGGGGCCCAGCAGAGAGTGCCGAGTGGCTTGAGGGAAAAACTGCTGTAGTACAGGTGCGGCGGCCACATTGAAGCCTCTGAGGTTACCTGTAAAGACCCCAAACACACACACACACCCCAAAAAAAAAACACAGCCAAGAAAGGAAGAAAGAGAGAGAGAGAGAAAGCACATCAGACATTGCGCAAAATTTGGGGCCTTCCAAAGCTGGCTGGCTGCTTCCCACACTTCCTGCCCACCAAAGGAATTTCCAGCCGCTGTAGAACAACTGTATTTTCCAAACAAACCAAAGTTTGTACTGAATCTGGATTCAGATGGGAGAGGTTATGGGGGATCGGTTGGCACTGCAGGGTGTGTTTCGAACTCGGGATCCTACAGCCCAGGGAGTTTAAGTTAACCAAGGCTCAGTGTGTTGGCCCCCATCGCCTTGCGCAGGAATGACCAAACTCGGACAAGACAACGCAAGAAAACAGATTTTAGGATGGCATCAGAAATGTAACGGAGAGTCCGTTGGGTGTAGTCATTCAGACACCGGCCTGAAAACTGGGCGACAGTGAGTTATAGTCCTGCCTTAGGCGTGAAAACCAGCTGGGTGACTTTGGGTGTTGCTGTGGTGAGGAAAATAGGAGGAAGGGAGGAATATTAGGGTGTTCTCTGCCTTGAGTTACTGTTCTGCCCCAGCTATGGACCCCAAAGAACGCAGCACACACGAAGTCTGTACAAACATTAGTTTAGTAAATTAAATCAGTTTTTTCTTTCAAACAAAGGCTGTTAATTACCTTTCTTAACAGCCTACAAAAATCCAAAGAATAAATAATCGTAATCTTACTAGGGTTGGCAGAAAGCCCAGAAGCAATTTGCAGAGAGATCAAGGAGAGTGAACGGAAGTTGTTCCCTGCAAATTGCTTCAGTCGGCGTTCCTCCTTAAATAGGCTAAGGGAGTGGCCAATTAGCCCCAAGCCTTACTCTCGAGGAGACCTCCTCCTGAGGAGCCACTCCTGCCTTTTGGCAGCTCTGTGCGCCCGTGCATCGAGAAGAGGCTCCTCCTCTTCTTCCTCTTCACTTAAGGAAGCTTCTGGAGGTTCTGAAGGGCCTGGCTGAATCCCCACCTCTGGCACCACCTCTTCTCCAGCCTCCTCACTGTCCGACTCGAGTGCCAGCTGCACAGACTGCTGGCGCAGCACCACACCAGCCTCCTCGCTGTCCGAATCAGCCACCAGCCGCACAGGCCGCGTACGAGCCACAACAGTTACAAATGAATAGTTAAATTAAAAAATAAAAATGACAGGATAATGAAAAGAAAAGGACTAGGGGTGATACGATAGCAGGATTCCAGTTATTTGAACTTATTTTCTAGAAGGCAAGACAAAAAAAACAATGGACGGAAATTAACCAAGGAGAGAAGCAACCTGGAATTGAGGAGAAACTTCCTAACAGTGAGGACGATTAACCAGTGGAACTGCTTGCCACCAGAAGCTGTGGGTACTCCATCACTGGAGGTTTTTAAGACGAGACTGGACAGCCGTTTGTCTGAAATGGTCTACTCTAGACAGCTTCCTGCCTGAGCAGGGGGTTGGACTAGAAGACCTCCAAGGCCCCTTCCAACTCTTGTTATTATGTTCTAAAAAAAAATCTAATAATAATAGCAGTAACGGGTAAGCTCAGGAGGCTGGCAAGGAAATTGAAGTGTGTTGGACACAACTGGAGCTCGCCCCCTGCATCCGGAACACGGAGCAACCCGATTCTCCCGTAATGGTGATCAATCCATAAAATAAATCCATTCCCTCCGGTTTTATTGCAGATCCATCGAGACGCTTTTAAGGGTAATATTTGCGATTCGCGGAGACAGCCCCGAGCTGATATCCGAATGGTAAGAAGAACATCTGCTTGTGAGCCAAGGAAGACATTTGAAAGGGCCATAAACGGAGCAACTCCTGAATTATTCAGCCACCGACTCTTTACTCAAATGTCTCGGCATCAAATATTCCGAAATGGAAACCGGTCGGTGACCAAAGGAGGCTCAGGGTTCAGATCACAGTTGGCGGAAACCTCCCCTAGCACCAAGAACTGAAAAAGGATCCCAGAGATTATTTTGCTCCCTGCAAACCTCGCAAGTTACACACGGGAGGAACCAAACATCGACGCGGCCAAAAGATTAAGAATAGAATAGAGCTGGAAGGGACCTTGGAGGTCTTCTAGTCCAACCCCCTGCTGAAGGAGGAGACCCTATAAAACGGCTAACCTTTTTGCCATCACGTGCCAGGAAGGGGGGGGGCAGGGGAGGTTCGCACACATGTGTGCCCACACCCATAATTCTATGTGGGCCATTTCGGGCCTCCAGAGGATCTCTAGAGGGATGGGGAAGGCTGTTTTCGCCCTCCCCAGATGCATAGAGAGGATTTGGATCCAGGTGAGAAAGAAAAACGGGCCTTCCCCACCCACTCCAGGCCCTCCGGAGTCAGGAAACAAGAAGTTTCCCTATTTCTGGTGGGCCCAGAAGGCCCAAAAATCAACTGGCATGAGCGCTGGAGCTGAGCTGGGGTGCCCACTGATATGGCTATGCGTGCCACCTGTGGCACGCGTGCCATAGGTTCGCCATCAAGGCCCTATACCATTTGAAACAAGTGGCTGTCCAGACTCTTCTTTAAAAAGTTCCAGTGATGGAGCGCCCACGACTTCCAGTGGCAAGCTGTTCCACTGGTTAATTGTCCTCACTGTTAGGCAGTTTCTCCTTAATTCCAGGTTGCTTCTCTCCTCGATTAGTTTCCAACCGTTGTTTCTTGTCTTTGGAGAATAACTTGACCCCTTCCTCTTTGTGGCAAATATTATACTGCTATCATGTCATTCCTAATTCTTCTTTTCTCTAGATTGGCCAAACCCAATTCCTTCAAGCGTCCTTCATATGTTTTAGTCTCCAGGCTTTTAATCCTCTTAGTTCGCTCTTCTCTGCACTTTTTCCAAAGTCTCAACGTCTTTTTCTGTAACGTGGTGACCAAAACTGGAAGCCTTATTCCAGATGTGGCCTTACTAAGGCTTTATAAAGCGCTACTAAGACTTCCCATGATTTTGATTCTGTGCCTGTTTATACAAGCAAGGATTGTGTTAGCTTTTTTGGCTGCTGCCGCACACGGCTGGCTCATCTTTAAGTGATCGTCCACTGGGACTCCAAAGTCCCTCTCAGAGTTAGTTAACTGTTTTTGAGCCAGGTTCCGCCTAATCTGTGCTTGTTCACACAGGTCTTCTGAATCATTGGCCAAAGAAAATTTGAGCTGTAAACCAGGATTTAGAAATTACAGGGTGGGCTTCCCCTTAATGGCAAAACAGAACAAATCCAGGCAGGTCAGTTTTTAAGCTTTCTAGACTTAAAAACTGGACACTGAAAATAGCATCCAAAAAACTGAAATCAAAAGTTCTCGGGAACCTTGCGTAAAACTCGGGTCGAGGTATTTGTCTGGATCGGGGTGGAAGGAAGGAGAGGAAAATGTGGAAGAGATTGTACCTTGCATTTGGTGCAGGAGGAGGGCTCGCTGGAGCACAGGGTTGGCGTTGAGTAGCGACGCTGGACTGGGTGCCTGAAGAGTTAACATTTGTTGCTGGGATGGTGTCACCGTTCTGTTGGGGGGAGGAAAGGACCAGAATATAGGTAATCCTTGATTTATAACAATTCATTTAGTGACCGTTTGGTGGAGTGGTGCGGTGGCCTAGAGGTGGAGCTCTCGCCTCTCAATCAGGAGGCTATGAGTTCGATCCTACGTAGAGGGAGATATTTCTCTCTCTGGGCACGATGAGAATATATCTGCCGAACAAAACTCAGCACTGGTGACAGGAAAGGCATCCGGCCATTCAAACACTCTGCTAGCTCCATTCAGCTGCCCAGACTCCACCCCGCAAAGGATTATAAATTATATAAATAATAATTTATATAAATATATATAAATGAAATAAATAAAAATAAAATAAATAAATTATGGAGTTGTTAAATGATAATGATTTAGTGACCGATTCGGTCCCGAGTTACAACAGCACTGATAAAAGGGACTTACGACCGTTTTTCAAACTTAATGACCGTTGCAGCATCCCCATCGTCACACGCATTTACATTCGGATGCTTGACAACTGACTCCTCTTTATGACGGTTGCCGCGTCCCGTGATCCTCTCTTGGTGACCTCTTTCTGACGAGCAAAGTCAGCGGAGAAAGCCAGCTTCGCTTCCCAATCGTGTTTTTAAGTTACCGATTGCAAGGATTCGCTTAACAACAGTGGGCGGCGAGAAAAGTCGTAAAACGGGGCCAAACTCACTCCGCACACGTTTCACTCAACAACAGAAAAAATTGGGCTCAGTTGTGGTCGTAAGTCGAGGACCACCTGTATTTAAAACCGTCGACTGGCGGCCCCCAGGGGGAGGGCCTTCTCTGTGGGGGCACCCACTATCTGGAACGAGCTCCCCTCCGGAGATACGGAGGATCCCAGATCTGCGCACCTTCCGCCGTGCTCTTAAGACCCTCTTATTCCAGCAAGCCGGCCTGGCCTAATTTTTCTTCCCTTTTTAAAATTTTAAATTGAAATTTTCATGGGTTTTAAATTTATTGGGATTTTAATTGTCGCGGGCCAATATTATTTAATTTGGTTTTAAATTGTTTTTAACTTTTGTATTTCTGTATTTTATCTTGTGCCTGTTCACCGCCCTGAGTCCTTCGGGAGTAGGGCGGTATACAAATTTAATAAAACTAAACTAAACTAAACTAACTCCTCCCCCACCACCAAAAAAAAAACGGATGTAAACATCCTGTCTGCCTCCTGTCTCCATTTTTATTATTTTTATTCTATATGGATTGTGATATTATTGGGTATATTTTATCCCCGATGATTTTAATGGGTTTGTTTCTGTTGTAAGCAGAAGTCAAGAGACGCTTGGAAACGAGATGGACGGCAAATAATAAATTAATAATAAACAAACAAACAAACAGCATCCAGCTGTGGTTAGCAAGCTTCCTTGCAAGACGATTGGGGCCTCGCTTGGTGTTTTTCACTTTGGGGGGGCCACCACTAAAAAGCCTCTGTGAAACGGAACACGTTTCAAATTAGAAGCCTAAATCATCTCAAACGGCCCCGTCCCCAAAATCCTCAGCATCTGCTCGATGCTTTCTTCACAGATCCAATCAGATCTAGGACGGCTGAATTTTGTAATCCTGCTTCTTAAAAAAGAATCGGCTGGTAATAAAATTCCTCTTGCACCCCTCCCGTGTTTTGGGGTGCAGGCACACCGGGGGATGGAAAATGTGTTTTTCTCTAAGCAATAAATTTCCAACACGCCCAGCAACGTAGCTGGAGGCCACTGTGGGACGTGAGCGTTTCTCTCAGCGACCGCTCTGCTTAACGACCCGAGTTGCGGGTCTCAATTTCGGTCACTAAATGAGGACCCCCATCTACAGCCTCTCCCGCAAGGGGGGGAAGCCCCAAAAGTTATTCCTTTGCACAATTCCTGTTCTCCTGGGCCTGCGCAAGAAAGTCAAAACATCCATCCTCCACAGCCAAGCTTCCTACTCTAGCTCCTTGGAGGGGGGAGGGGAGCGATGGGCTTTGTAATCCCAAAGACGAGGGAGAGACGGCGGAAGGGTGGTGGGGGTCTATTCTTTTTAACAGTGGGGTGTCAAAGAGTTTGCAAACCTGGGTTCTGGGGTCAGGGGTGAAATCCAATTTTTTTTCCCCTACCGGTTCTGTGGGCGTGGCTTGGTGGACTTGCAGGGGAAGGATACTGCAAAATCCCCATTCCCTCCTCACTCCTGGGGAAAGGCTACTGCAAAATCTCCATTCCCACCCCACTCCTGGGCGAAGGATATTGCAAAATCCCCATTCCCTCCCCACTCCTGGGGGAAGGATATTGCAAAGTCCCCATTCCCTCCCCACTCCTGGGGGAAGGCTACTGCAAAATCCCCATTCCCTCCCCACTGGGGGGGGGAGATTATTGCAAAATCTCCATTCCCACCACACTCTTGGGCGAAGAATATTGCAAAATCCCCATTCCCTCCCCACTCCTGGGGGGAAGGCTACTGCAAAATCCCCATTCCCACCCCATTCCTGGGGGGAAGGATATTGCAAACTCCCCATTCCCTCTCCACTCCTGGGGCCAACCAGAGGTGGCATTTGCCGGTTCTCCGAACTACTCAAAATTTCCGCTACCAGTTCTCCAGAACCTGTTAGAACCTGCTGGATTTCATCCCTGGTTCTGGGTACTTTACCCGATGGGGTCCTCTCCTTTGGGTAAGGGGCGGAGGGTTCTACGCAGGCTGGGAAGCATGGGAACTGGAGCTGGGAAGCATGGGAACCTGAGCTGGGAAGCATGGGAACCTGAGCTGGGAAGCATGGGAATTGGAGCTGAGAAGCATAGGAACTGGAGCTGGGAAGCATGGGAACCTGAGCTGGGAAGCATGGGAACCTGAGCTGGGAAGCATGGGAACCTGAGCTGAGAAGCATGGGAACCTGAGCTGGGAAGCATGGGAATTGGATCTGAGAAGCATGGGAACCTGAGTTGGGAAGCATGGGAACCTGAGCTGGGAAGCATGGGAACTGGAGCTGAGAAGCATGGGAGCAGGAGACTTAAGGAACTTGGGAGAAAGCTGGACCTCTCCAAAAAAAAGACAGACAGCTGGTTCCTTTGGGGTGGGCAGCGCATTCATCATCCCCCCTGTCTTTTGAGGGGAGGGGGGACTGGGAGGAAAGGAGGGCACCCCGGTTGCAGAGGGTGGGCGGCCGGGGACCCCCATTTGTGCCCCTCCCCACCCCCAAAGTCGCGCCCCACCTCCACCCCCCCAGATCTCCCCGCGGGGGCGCGCAACAACAGAGTACCCTTTTTGGCACCGTTACGCACGGCCCCAGGGGAGGCGGGCGCGCCGCGGGCCGGCTCAGGGCGCAGGGAAGGGGCGCGGCGGGGACTCCCCACTCCCCACCTCCTCCTCCCCGGGGCCCAGGCCGCCGGCCTGGCCAAGCAAAGGGCTTACCGGCTGGGCGTCGGTTGGGTAGGAGCCGCGGGGCTCTGCTGCTGCTGTTGCAGGAGATGCTGCAGGCGGAGCAAATGCTGCTGGCGGCCGAAGGCGGGGGGGGTGGGGGGGGGGGGAGGAAGGAAGGGCGCCGCGGGGAAGGCAGGGAAGGCGGACCGACCGGGAACCCGGCCTCGGCTGGCGGACGGAGGAGGAGGAGGAGGCGGAGAAGGCGGCTCTTCCTGGGTCGGCAGGCTCGGGAGCGCGCCTGCAAAAGGGCGGCGCGCGGCTCTGCGCTCCGAGGCCGTGGAGGCGAGGCTGGGCGCAGCAAGCAAGGCACACACACACACACACAGACACACAGGACACGGAGAGAGGGTCTTTCGAGGCGGCCCTCCTCCCTCTCCCCAAGGCCTGGGGTGCAAGGAGGAGGAGGAGGAGGAGGAGCATAGACCGGGAGGGGGGGTTGGGAGGTGAGAGGGAGCGGGGGGGGGGGGCGGCGGGATTACATGGCCCTCCCCTCCTGTCCCCCCCCCCCTTAAGAATTTTAAAAATAGTTGGGGGATTTTTAAATCCTGCTCAGTCAATCATTTATCATGTATATCTATATCTATGTCTCTGTCTAATCTATCATCTAGCTACTTACCTACCTACCTAACATCTATTTCATCTATCCTGTCTATTTACCATCTCTGTCTGCCTATCATGTATCTACCATCTGTTTGTCTGTCTAATCTATCATCTACCTACCTACCTACCTGCCTATCATCTATCTCATCCAGCTAGCTACCTAATTGATCATGTCTGTCTGTCTATCTATCTATCTATCCTGTTTGTATGTCTAATCTATCATCTATCTACCTACCTATCTAACATCTATTTCATCTGCCTAATCTGTCTATCATGTCTATCTACCATATCTACCTATCTGTCCGTCTATCTATCTATCTATCTATCTATCTATCTATCTATATATCAGCTATCTATCGTGTATCTATCTCTTACCATCTGTCTGTCTAATCTATCATCTACCTATCATCTATTCTATCTTTTATCTCATCCCATCTAGCTATCTATCATATCTATCTGTCTGTCTATCATCTATCTACTTACCTAACATCTATTTCATCTATCTATCTATCGATCTATCTAATCTGTCTGCCTGCCTGCCTATCTATCTATCTATCTATCTATCTATCTATCTATCTATCTATCTATCTATCTATCTATCTATCTATCCTGTTTGTTTGTCTAATCTATCATCTACCTACCTACCTATCTAATATCTATTTCCTTCCTAATCTATCTATCATGTCTATCTACCATATCTACCTATCTGTCCATCCGTCTGTCTGTCGATTATCTATCTATCTCTATCTATCTATCTATCTACTATCTATCATGTATCTATCTCTTACCATCTATCGGTTTGTCTGTCTGTCTAATGTATCATATACTTATCTACCTATCATCTATTCTATCTTTTATCTAGCTAGCTATCATATCTACAGTATGTCTGTCTATCATCTACCTACCTAATATCTATTTCATCTATCTACCAATCTATCTAATCTGCCTGCCTGCCTGCCTGCCTGCCTGCCTGCCTGCCTATCTATCTATCTATCTATCTATCTATCTATCTATCTATCTATCCTGCTTCCCCCAAAATAAAACATCCCCTGATAATAAGCCCAATCGGGCTTTTATTTCATTTATTTATTATTTTATTTTGATTTATATGCCGCCCTTCTCCAGAGACTCAGGGCAGCTTACAAGACGTTAAGCAATAGCCTTCATACTTTTGTATATTTTATACAAAGTCAGCTTATTGCCCCCACAAACCGGGTCCTCATTTTACCCACCTTAGAAAAGATGGAAGGCTGAGTCAACCTTGAGCCTGGTGAGAATTGAACTCGCAGTAATTGCAGGCAGCTGGAAGCTAAATACTACCTTTAACAGTAGCATTAGACTGCTGTGCCACTCAGGCTCTTGCGATATGGCAATAAGGCCAAGCATTTATTTCAGGGTTCAAAAAAATATAAGACAGGGTCTTATTTTCAGGGAAACATGGTATCTATCTGTCTGTCTGTCTGTCTGTCTGTCTGTCTATCTATCTAGATCTATCTATCATCCGTGCATCCATCTCTCTCTCTCTCTCTCTCTCTCTCTCTCTCTCTCATATATATATCATCTATTGATCGATCGATCGATCTATCGATCTACATATCTATCTCTCAGACCCCATTTCATAGCTGTTGGGACTCTCTTCTTCATTTTTATTAAACCGATTCTAATCTTTCCCTCTTCCTCTTCAATCAAATTGTTCTTTTTGGGGTTTGTTTTGAAGCAGCAGCTGCCTAAATTCCTCTCCGCAGGAGTGGATGTTCTTTACACCTTGAGAACTGAGATTCGGTCACGCTGCCAACCGGCTTCTTTCTACCTACGGGAACAAATGAGCGTCAAGGTGCTTTTTAAAGAACCCTCTTGGCAGAAGACCAGCTCTCCCCCTCCTCCACCTCCACCTGGACTTTGCCAGCTGCCATTAGCTGATGATGCCCAGCCCGAGTGAAAGCCGGAGAGGTTTGCCGCAAAAGTTAAAACAAATTAAAAATCCCCGTAGTTGTTGCCATGTCAACAGATCTTGCGTCCTTGCTTGGGGAAGCTGCTGCAAAACAGGGAACTTGATGAGGGCAAAATGTTGGCATTTTTTGGGGCCTGGCAGTGGTTGTAGGGCAGAGTCAGGGCTAACCCTACTGTTGGGTATGGCAGTGTTCCAATGTTACACGGGAGGGGGGGGCAGAAAAGGGAGAGAAAGAGGAGGAAGACCAGAAGAAGGAGGAGAAAATAGATAATAGATAATGGCAGAAAAGGAGAAGGGGAAGAAGAAAGAGAGGAAGACCAGAAGGAGGAGAAAATAGATAGTAATGACAGAAAAGGAGAAGAAGAAGAGGAGAAGGGGAAGAAGAGGGAGAGAAAGAGGAGGACGACCAGAAGAAGGAGGGGAAAATAGGTAATAGATAATGGCAGAAAGGGAGAAGAGGAAGAAGAAACAGAGGAAGAAAGGAGGAAGACCAGAAGGAGGAGAAAATAGATAATAATGACAGAAAAGGAGAAGAAGAAGAGGAGAAGGGGAAGAAGAGGGAGAGAAAGAGGAGGAAGACCAGAAGAAGGAGGAGAAAATAGATAATAGATAATGGCAGAAAAGGAGAAGGGGAAGAAGAAAGAGAGGAAGACCAGAAGGAGGAGAAAATAGATAATAATGGCAGAAAAGGAGAAGAAGAAGAGGAGGAGGGAAAGGAAGGAGAGAAAGAGGAGGAAAACCAGAAGAAGGGGGAGAAAATAGATAATAGCAGAGAAGAAGAAGAAGAAGAAGAAGAAGAAGAAGAAGAAGAAGAAGAAGAACCAGCTTGAATGTTGAGGTTCCTCTATGCCATAGACCATAGAGACTATAGGGTGCAGGAAGACCCTGCAAAATTCCCACCCCCACATAAGAGGCAGGAAGAGAGTGGAAATGAGGACAGCCAAAGGAGAAAAAAAAAGCTTTTAATTAGGGTGCCAAGGTTAGCCAAGACAAACACGAACTCTGGCCGGTGGGCAGAGGTTGGAAAGAGACTCCTGTCAACAGAGGAAAAATATCGCTATTGATTGGCGGTTGAATGCTAAGAGAGATGAGAAGGAGAAGGAGAAGGAGAAGGAGAAGAAGAAGAAGAAGAAGAAGAAGAAGAAGAAGAAGAAGAAGAAGAAGAAGAAATTATTATTAAGAAATAAATCCTAAGAAATATATGCTAGCAAATCAGCTCTATCCTTCTTCTCCAACCTGGAGGAGGAGGAGGAGGAGGAGGAAGAGGAAGAAGAAGAAGAGGAAGAAGAAATTATTATTAAGAAAGAAATCCTAGCAAATCAGTTCTATCCTCCTTCTCCAACCTGGAGGAAGAGGAGGAGGAGAAGAAGAGGAGGAGGAGAAGGAGAAGGAGATTATTTTGGAACTCCACTGATGTTACAGGATCTCCTGCACAAGTAGAGGGTTGGACTAGAAGACCTCCAGGGACCCTTCCAACTCTTGTTATTCTGTTAAAACGTGGCAAGATTAAGAAACATCCACCCAGGGCCTAACTAAGATTACCAAACTACCTCTCTGCTTCTGGTTTTCACTGGTTTCTCTGGGGGGGGGGGCTTAAAGGCCCTGAAACTGGATCCTGTTTTAACTCATGGGGAGGTGGGGGTCCCTTCCACCGATCCCCAGGCTTCCATTCCATCCCAGTGCTTTCTGCATCCAACATTTTTCCCAGCAGGATCCCGGGGGAGGGGGGGGGACGAAGGGCTCCATCTGGGCTGTCCTTTTTTTTTTTAATATATACCCACACAAAAGGACAGGACGATCCTGGCAGATGGCTCTCCCTCCCAGCGAGGAAAAAAAAAGCCGGATTCTCAAAATTAGTCAGGGGTGGTGGCTGTGGCACGAAAAGATAAAATTTCCAAGCCGAAAGTCATACCTAGCTCCCCTTGGGCGCGGTGCCGAAGAGACACACTGAGCACGGAAAGATAGAAATAGGAAAAAAAAAATTAATCGTGCAGATTAAAGAATAAAGAATAATTTTATTTCTATACCGCCCTTCTCCCGAAGGACTCAGGGCGGTGTACAGCCGATTAAAAGCACAAGACAAACATCAATTAAAATAATTTAAAATTATTAAATAATTCGGCTCAATTTTAAAACCCCAGAAATTTAAAACACCCAATTTAAAATTATTATGTTGATAGCCCGGCTATCAGATTAAAGCAGATTAAAACGAAGAAAGAAACAAAACAAAAAACAAAAAATTGGAATCCGGTGTGCCATTTTGTAAAACGGATCTAAAAACCATGTTGCTTCCTTTTACCAAGATAATCGATACAAGTTCAACGTGTCTCTGTTTGTTTGTTTGTTTGTTTGCTGGACAGGTTTCTAGTCCCTTGCGTTATAATTTATTTATTTTATTTATTTATTAGTTCGATTTATATGCCGCCCTTCTCCGGAGACTCAGGGCGGCTTACAATGCGTTAAGCAATAGCCTTCAGACTTTTGTATATTTTATACAAAGTCAGCTTATTGCCCCCACAATCCGGGTCCTCATTTTACCTACCTCAAAAGGATGGAAGGCTGAGCCAACCTTGAGCCTGGTGAGATTTGAACTTACAGTAATTGCAGGCAGCTGGTGTTACTTAACAGCACTTTAGTCTGCTGCGCCACCAAGGCTCATTCGTATAGTTGAACACAGATTCCAATTTAGGCAAACAATTTATTCAAATAAAGAGAACCGCTAAGGGGGCAAAGGTGATTGCAGAACTGGTATTTATCCTTCTGTTTCAAAAAAGAAGAGAAGGGAACAGAATGATAGATTGGATGGGGACCTTGGAGGACATCTAGTCCAACCCCCTGCCCAAGCAGGAGATCCTACACCATTTCTGACAAATGGCAGTCCAGTCTCTTCTTGAAAACTTCCAGTGATGAAGCTCCCACAAATTCTGTTCCATGGGTTGATTGATTGAAGAATCAAGGATTTGTTTGAATTTCCCAACAGATTGTGAAATTGAATTAGAACCTGAGATTTTCCTATTGGGCATGATCAAAAAGAACATCCGAAATGTCATAAAATACCTAATACTTCATATAATCACGGCGGCAAGATTAGCATTAGCACAATTCTGGAAAAGCGATCAACTGCCAACGGACCAGGAACTAATACAAAAAATATATACATGCGCAGAGATGGATAGATTAACTTTAGAGTTACAGGACAAGGAGGACTCTAAATATTATGAAACATGGAATAGATGGTACCAATGGATAAACCAGAGGAAAGGAAATGGGTAGAGATGAAATTTAGAAGAAATTAATATAACAAAAAACAGCACTGTCAGAGGTATAGAATATGGAATACTTTATTGTATGTTTGTATATATGTACATATAATACATAAAATATATTTATATAGAATAATGGACAGAAATAACATAGTAGAAGAGAACAGAATAGAAATAATAATAGAGTACAATAGAATAGAAAAGAAATAAAATAGAACAGAAAAAATAGAATAGAATAGAAAACAGTAGAGAAATAGAACAGAATAGAACAGAAATAATATAATCGAACAGAATAGAAATAATAATAGAGTAGAGTAGAGTAGAATAGAAATTAAATAGAAAGTAAATAGAATAGAACAGAACAGAAAAAATAGAATAAAAAGAAAATAGAACAGAAATAACATAATAGAACAGAAGAGAAGAGAAATAATAATAGAGTAGAATAGAATAGAAAAGAAATAGTATAGAACAGAAAAAATAGAATAGAATAGAATAGAAAATAGAATAGAACAGAAATAATATAATTGAACAGAATAGAAATAATAATAGAATAGAGTGGAGTGGAGTGGAGTGGAGTGGAATGGAATGGAATGGAATGGAATGGAATGGAATGGAATGGAATAGAATAGAATAGAATAGAATAGAATAGAATAGAATAGAATAGAATAGAACAGAAATAACATAGTAGAAGAGAACAGAATAGAAATAATAATAGAGTACAATAGAATAGAAAAGAAATAAAATAGAACAGAAAAAATAGAATAGAATAGAAAACAGTAGAGAAATAGAACAGAATAGAACAGAAGTAACATAATAGAACAGAATAGAAGAGAAATAATAATAGAGTAGAATAGAATAGAATAGAAAAGAAATAGTATAGAACAGAAAAAATAGAATAGAATAGAAAATAGAATAGAACAGAAATAATATAATTGAACAGAATAGAAATAATAATAGACGACAATCTTAACCAGGGCTTATTTTGGGGAGTAGGGCTTATATTACAAGCATCCTGAAAAAAATAATGCTAGGGCTTATTTTCCGATTAGATCTTATTTTGGGGGAAATACGGTACTAAATGCATCCATCTGGCCGACAATCTTAACCAGGACTTATTTTGGGGAGTAGGGCTTATATTACGAGCATCCTGAAAAAATCACGCAAGGACTTATTTTCCAATTAGGTCTTATTTTTTGGGAAATACGGTACTAAATGCATCCATCTGGCCGACAATCTTAACCAGGGCTTATTTTGGGGAGTAGGGCTTATATTACGAGCATCCTGAAAAAAATAATGCTAGGGCTTATTTTCCGATTAGATCTTATTTTGGGGGAAATACGGTACTAAATGCATCCATCTGGGTGACAATCTTAACTGGGGATTATTTTGAGGGTAGGGTTTATATTACAAGCATCTGGAAAAATCATGCTAGGACTTATTTTCCGATTATGTCTTATTTTTTGGGAAATACGGTACTAAATGCATCCATATGGCTGACAATCTTAACTGGGGCTTATTTTGAGGGTAGGGCTTATATTACAAGCATCCTGAAAAAAATCATGCTAGGGCTTATTTTCTGGTTGGGTCTTATTTTTTTGGGAAAATGGGGTAGAAAGAAGGAAGGACCTGCATCCTTTAACCGTTCCTGTAAGATTTGTGGGAATTTCACGGCGAGTTTTTTGTTTCGTTTTGCCTTTTGCAAGAAGAGAAGGAACGCCAGCTGGGCTGGTAAGTGGGTGCGGGGGTATTATTGTCTGCAAATACCCTTCTGGTTGCTTTGCAACAATGCCTGCTCAAAAGCTGGGCCATTTTTTTTGGTTTTGCAAAGCTCTCTAGCGAAGTGAAGGCCGTCAAGCAAGGAGACCCAAAATGAGGTCAAGAAGCGATCGTAAGGCAGTAGGTTCTTCGTGATGATGGAGCCTTCCCCTGCCCTCCTGCGAAGGGCACCGCGACGGCTGCCAAGCGCCCGAGCTTCCTTTTCAGAAGTAATTAAGATCATCCGCTTGTTACAAGGTTGTTACCCCGGGAAACGCAGGCGGCTCGAGCCTTGCATCCAGCAGCCTTGAGATGTGTGTGGCGTTTTCCCGAGGCCTCCACGGAGGAAGATGTATTTTTTTCCTCCTCCTCCTCCTCCTCCTCCTCCTCCTCTTCCTCCTCCTCCTCCTCCTCCTCCTCCTCCTCCTCCTCCTCCTCCTCCTGGTCCCAGCGTCATGCACCAAAATGCTCTCGGGTCGTGACGATCCAGAGTTCTGGTGAGTCACGGTCAGCTGCGTTCTCCGCCGGCCGCGTCTGGAGACGCTGGGTGTGCGTTGTTCGCAGAGGCTGACGGCCAAATGTCATTCTGCACCGGTGGTGCACCTTATATTCCGTCTGAAATAAACTTGAGATTGGCGGGCCTGCGAGGGCTTGCTTGGGGTTTGAACCCTTCCCTGTTCTCGAGGGGCTGTTACAAATGGCGTCTGAATGCGTCACGGTGCAATGGCTGGCTGGCTGGGGGATTCTGGGCGTTGGAGGCCACGTGGCTCCTTCTTTCCTTCCTTCCTAAAATGAATCTCCTTTTAAGGCTGATTGGTTCTATGGTGAACACTTTTATAATTTCAATCTGCTTTTCTTCCTTCTTTCCTTCCTTTCCTTTCCTTTCCTTTCCTTCCACCCACCCACCACCCACCCATCCATCCTTTTCTCATTTCCTTCCTTCCTTCCTTCCCTTTCCTTTCCTTCCTTCCTTCCTTCCTTCCCTTCCTTCCACCCACCCACCCATCCTTCCTTTTCTCCCTTCCTTCCTTCCTTCCTTCCATCCACCCACCCACCCACCCATCCTTGCTTTCCTTCCTTCCTTCCTTCCTTCCTTCCTTCCTTCCTTCCTTCCTTCCTATAATGAATCATCTTTAGTTGAATTTAATCTGATTGGTTCTATGGTGAACACTTTTACTGAATTTCAATCTTTCCCTTCTTCCTTCCTTCCTTCCTTCCTTCCTTCCTTCCTTCCTTCCTTCCTTCCTTCCATCCACACATCCATCCATCCATCTCTCATCTCCTTCTACCCACCCATCCATCTCTTCTCTCATTTCCTTCCTTCCTTCCTTCCTTCCTTCCTTCCTTCCCTTTCCTTTCCTTTCCTTCCTTCCTTCCATCCACCTACCCATCCTTCCTTTTCTCCCTTCCTTCCTTCCTTCTTTCCTTCCTTCCTTCCTTCCTTCCTTCCCTTCCTTCCACCCACCCACCCACCCACCCTTCCTTTTCTCCTTTCCTTCCTTCCTTCCTTCCTTCCTTTCCTTCCTTCCTTCCTTCCATCCACCCACCCACCCACCCACCCATCCTTGCTTTTCTCAGTTCCTTCCTTCCTTCCTTCCTTCCTTCCTTCCTTCCTTCCTTCCTTCCTTCCTTCCATGAATCATCTTTAATTGAATTTAATCTGATTGGTTCCATGGTGAACACTTTTACTGAATTTCAATCTTTCCCTTCTTCCTTCCTTCCTTCCTTCCACCCACACATCTATCCATCCATCCATCCATCTCTCATCTCCTTCTACCCACCCATCCATCTCTTCTCTCATTTCCTTCCTTCCTTCCTTCCCTTTCCTTTCCTTTCCTTCCTTCCATCCACCTACCCATCCTTCATTTTCTCCCTCCCTTCCTTCCTTCCTTCCTTCCTTCCTTCCTTTCCTTTCCTTCCTTCCACCCACCCACCCTTTCTTTTCTCCCTTCCTTCCTTCCTTCCTTCCTTTCCTTCCTTCCACCCACCCACCCATCCTTGCTTTTCTCCCTTCCTTCCTTCCTTCCTTCCTTCCTTCCTTCCTTCCTATAATGAATCATCTTTAATTGAATTTAATCTGATTGGTTCTATGATGAACACTTTTACTGTTTTTCTTCCTTCCTCCCTCCCTCCCACCCACTCTTCTTTCATTTCCTTCCTTCCTTCCTTCCTTCCTTCCTTCCTTCCTTCCACCCATACATCCATCCATTCTTCTCTCATTTCCTTCCTTCCATCCGTCCGTCCGTCTGTCTGTCTGTCCCTCCATCCCTCCCTCCACCCTTCTCATGCTGGCCACTGCAGTGGTGATAAGCTAGCATAAACATCCTCTCGCCTGGTTGCCATGGAAACTGGCGATCCCTCCCAGGATGATGGAGAAGGAAAAAACCGCTTGGTGGAAATGCTAAAAAGATGGAGTAGAAGCCGACCCTCCCCCCAATTGCAGGGTCCAGAAAGCTTTGCAGATTTTTTTGTGGGGGGGGGCAGGCTAAGTTTGAGCCATCCTGACGAGTTTTGCTGCAGTTGAAAAACAAAGAACGGAAGGAAAGAATCCCTGAGCATGCTGGTTTTTCTTTTTCTTTTAATTTTAGGGACTTTCTGCCCCGTGGATCGGGAATTGTAACCCGACGCCCCCTGGTTCTGCAACTGGTGAATGCCACGACTGGTACGTGAATTTTGTTTTTAATCCTCTCTCTTCGTCACGACGCACAAAAACTCATGTCCAGGGTGCTGTGACGTAGGCCCAAGTAGTTATTACCAGACACAATCCGTCCTAAACAAACATATTTTATTAGAACAGCTGAGAATTACCTCATTCTCAGCTTAGTCCAAATTAATTCCAAAACAAAGTCCTTCAGAAAAAGTCCTTCGGCCTTATCACAAACCTTCGTCTTCTTTGTCACCCTGCCAAAGGCTTTTCTTGGCAAAGCCCCATGAAGTTCAGAAACAAGAGATGCCGACTGGAAACAGATTTAGCAACGTTGCTTTCCTACAGAGAGCCCAAGAGCCTTTGTTGCTCTTGTAAGCCTTCCGGGCGGGGGCAATCATCTCCTGGCCTTACTCCTGAGTCGTCCTTTTTGCTTTAGCTCCTCTTGCTTTCTAACAGCTCTTCGCATGCGTGCACTAGGAACAGGCTCCTCCTGTTCCTCTGCCTCTCTGCTGTCCGACTCTGGAGGCTCCGGAGTCTGCGCATCGCTCCCAGATGGCCCTGGTCCCATCTCTGCCTCTGATGCAGAGTCCTTGTCCGGGCCTTCCCCTGACTCCAGGACTGGCCCATTGTCCTCCCCAGCCTCCTCACTGTCCGACTCCACTGCCAGCTCCGCGGGCTGCTGGTGGACCACAACACAGGGGTGGGAGAGAGAAGACCTTCTGGGAACTACAATCTGATATGTAATCTTCCTCTAGGGTTACTCAGTCCAAACCAATTTGCTTTGCCCACAAGGAGGAGAAAGTGGTGAGGCGGGGGGGCAATAGTGAAATGCTACTGGTTTGCACCGGTTCGGGCTAACCGATCATGATAAAAAGCTACCGATTCGTCCGAACTGGTATTTCCAAAGATCAGCTGTGCCGCGCGGTTTATATTTGCTAGAAAGCAGGAAATCTTGATTTAAGATCTCCCCGTCCATGAGCTGTGCCTGAACTAGGTGGCTCAGTGGCTAAGACACTGAGCTTATCGATCAGAAAAGCCTCTTCTTTGCACCCAGGAGTTGCCACTTTCTGTTGTCTTCTCCCAACTCCTCTTTTTTTTTTTTGTTAAACTTCAAGTTCTTTATTTTTTATTTTTCACAAACTTATCATGTGTGAAAAATGTGGCACCTGAGTGTCATACATTTTGATAAAAATAAAATAGTATTAATCGTATTCGTTTCATTTAACCACCTTATATCATTCTAGTAATAATGTACATATTTTTATTAAGTTATAATCTTTCATTACTTAGTTATTCAATATTTCAGTGTGTCACTTTTATGCCCAATCATCCTGTTCTAAGTATCATACCTTTTAATACAAATAGAATATTATGGATAATATTAATTACATTTAGCAAGCTTATATAATTCTAATAATAATACAAACATTCATGATCTTTCATTATTTGCTTGTTCATTTTATAATCCTTCGTTATTTAGTTATTCAGTATTTCAAATGTTATTTTTATGTCAGTCCTCATCTTCTGCATGTCATACATTTTAATACAAATAAAATATTTTGAATCATATTTGTTACATTGAACAAACGTACGTGTATTCATCTCGAATTATAATCTTTCATTATTTATTTAATCAATAGTTCAATACATTATTTTTATGCCAGTCGTCACGTTGTTTAAGTATACTTAGTCATACCGTCATTCAAAATCTAATTTCCGCTCTTATGATTACTTCTCCTTATTATATAAGAATATATGTATATTCTATTAATTCCCTTCTCTCTAGTTTCTATCCCTATTCTAACTTTGATTATGCCACCGGCCCCATCCAGGGGTGGGCTTCAAAAATTTTAACAAGGGATTCTCTGCCCAGTTGCTGGGTGGGTGTGGCCATGGTGGGCGTGGCCTAGTTGTCCTCCTGCACCACAGTGGGGGGAAGGGGTGTTTTTGCCCTCCCCGGGCTCCAGAGGCTTTCCTCGAGCCTCCAGGAGGGTGAAAACGGCCTCCCCAGGCTCCAGAGGCCCTCTGGAGGCCGGAAATGGACCCGAACTTCCGGTAGGCCCGTTTTTCACCCTCCCCAAGCCACCGTGCGCGGCCTGCACTTACATGCATCCAAAACGGGCTGCGTGGAGACTCCTGGGAGGGGAGGGGCAGGGTGGGCGGTACCAGCCAGGAGTAGGATTTGAGGGTTCTCCGAACTGCACAGAATCTTAGCTAGAGGTTCTCCCGAACCCCTGCGAACCCCCAGCAGCCCATCCCTGGGCCCATCTCCTAATTGTCTTCTAACCATCTCCTCCCTTCCTCTAGAATATGGCGAGTTCCTACACTGCAAAGGGAAGAAGTTCACGGACTTTGAGGAGATACGTGTCGAGATCGAAACCGAGACCGACAGAGTCACCGGCTCCAACAAGGGTATCTCCTCCGTCCCGATCAACCTACGCGTTTATTCTCCGAACGGTAAGTCGTGGAACGTATCAAGTAGAACTCCACAATCCCATTTTTGGGTGGTGGTGAGAAGGTCTTGGATTTTGAGAATACTTATTTAAGGTGGAAACAAAACTTAACAGAGAAAGGAACCTACCATTGAAGCTTATCATGATATGGCTTGCTTGGGGTTGACAAATTCTCAATTCCCCATCCCACCTTGATAGCAAGTTATTCTACTTGAGGTTGTTGTGGCCCGTCAGCAGCCTGTGCAGCTAGTAGCTGATTCCGACAGCGAGGAGGCTGGTGTGCTGTGCCAGCAGCCTGTGCAGCTGGCACTCAAGTCAGACAATGAGGAGGCTGGAGAAGATGTGGTGCCAGAGGCGGGGATTCAGCCAGGGCCTTCAGAACCTCCAGAAGCTCCCATAAGTGAAGAGAACGAAGAGGAGGAGCCTCTTCTCGATGCACGGGCGTGCAGAGCTGCCAAAAGGCAGGAGTGGCTCTTCAGGAGGAGGTCTCCTCAAGAGTAAGGCTTGGGACTAATTGACCACTCCCTTAGCCTATTTAAAGAAGGACGACGACTGAGGCAATTTGCAGGGAACAACTTCATTCACTCTCCTTAGCGTCCTGATCTTAGTTCTCTGCAAATTGCTTCTGGGCTTTCTGCCAACCCTAGTAAGATTACGATTATTTATTCTTTGGATTCTTGTAGGCTGTTAAGAAAGTTAATTAACAGCCTTTGTTTGAAAAAGACTAATTTAATTTAGTAAACTAAGGTTTGTACAGACTTTGTGTGTGCTGCGTTCTTTGGGGTCCGTAGCTGGGGCAGAACAGAGATTTCTTTCCAGCTTCATATGGCTGTCCATCTCTTTGTTCTGACCCAGCTCTCTAAACATGACAAACCCTCTGAAGTGAACTCAAAAGATTCCTTCATTAGGAGTGCCAGCAGCCCCGACAAAAAGTTTCTCTCTCACCATAGGCTAATAAGTCCATCCGGCAGGGAGATGTCTGCCACATCTATTCATCTCCGCCCCCTGTCTTTTATCCCCAGAGCTAGGATGGGGCTTCATTAACAGCGGTGGCTCTTTCATCCCAAGGACCGGCCCATAGATTTCCACTGCTCTCCTCTCCTCTGCCTTCTGTGCATCCGTGCGTCAGGCACTGGACCCAGCTGTTCCTCCTCCTCCTCATCAGCCACCTCCAGACCTGGGGGCTGTTGACTCTCCATCTGAGAGCTGACGGACGGCCCAGGCTCCACCTCTCTCTCTGTCTCTCTCTGCCAGCTCCATTCCCTCTTCCCCCTCGGAGCTCTCAGTTGCCTTGATGCTGATCCTGACTCCCACGCTTCCTTCTCCTCCTCTGATATGGCTGATGGAGGGGCCGGTGGCTGACAGTCCACAACACTCTTCCTCTTCTTTCTTTAGTCCTAAGTCTGACTCTGGTGGACCTTCCTGGGATGACCAAGGTTCCAGTTGGAGACCAGCCACCAGACATCGAATTCCAGATCCGTGAAATGTTGATGCAGTTCGTCACCAAAGAAAACTGTCTTGTCCTTGCGGTCTCTCCAGCCAACAGCGATCTGGCCAATTCCGATGCTCTTAAGATTGCCAAAGAGGTTGACCCTCAAGGTAAGGATCGACCTTAGGATTTTGGACCTGGGTCTGTCGGTTTCTGCAAACCAATTTCTTTTTGTCTCCTGAATTATGAAGGATTGCAAAGGGATCCAGGAACAGGAAGAAAAGAAGTTGGATTCAAGATTACTCATTTATCAGATGTATAATACATCTCATATAAAGTCGTACCTTTGAACTCAAACTCAGCATGAGAAATGGCCATAACCATAGCTCTTAGACTTATATACAGTGCTTTACGGCACTCTCTAAGCGGTTTACAGAGTCAACCTATTGCCCCCAACAATCTGGGTCCTCATTTGACCCACCTCGGAAGGATGGAAGGTTGAGTCAACCTTGAGCCGGTCGGGATCAAACTGCTGGCAGTGGGCAGAGTTAGCCTGCGATATTGCATTCTAACCATTGTGCCACCATGGCAAGGAAGGAAGGAAGGAAGGAAGGAAGGAAGGAAGGAAGGAAGGAAGGAAGGAAGGAGAAATGAGAGGAAGAGAAAGAAGGAAGGGAAGTAAGCAATAGCACTTAGACATATATCACTTCACAGTGCTTTTCAGCCCTCTCTAAGCGGTTTACAGAGTCAGCCTCTTGCCCCCAACAATCTGGGTCCTCATTTGACCCACCTCAGAAGGATGGAAGGCTGAGTCAACCGTGAGCCAGTCAGGATCGAACTGCTAGCAGTGGGCAGAATTAGCCTGCAGTAATGGATTCTGACCACTATGCCACCACTCTCTGGTATATGAAGATGCACAAGAGAAAAGCACAACAGGATTGGCAGGGAGAAGTGAGGCCATGTGCATAGAGTACACCATGATGGGTGTGACATCTCTGTGGAGTACGCTAGACGTTTAAGAAGAAAGCAAAGGTCAGGATTAACCCAAGCTCAGAGAGCAAGGAAGTGCCAGCTTGAAATTTGGATGAACAACCCAATTATAAATGCCAGAAGAATGTCATATTTCTGTGGTTTCTAACAGTCAATGAAAGTATCCAGTGTAACAGCAAATATAAGAATGATTATGCTGCGTGTACAGCAAAAAATAAGGATGATTATACTGGGTTTATCAGTAAAAGTAAGATTATGTTGGGACCAACGATAAAAACAAAGATGATTATGTTGGGTGAAACAGTAACTACAAGGATGATTATGCTGGGATTAACAGTTAAAATAAGATAACTATGTCGGGATAAATAGCAAAAATGAAGATGTTATGTTGGCAGTAACAGTTAAAATATTGTTTAAATATTGACAATAATTGTAAGGATTTGAATATTCTTTTTTTTTTATTAAACAAAAACAAGACAAAAATACTTACAAACATGTATACATAACGACAATACAAAAAAAAAGAATATTTGAATATTCTTAAGAACACATTCATCTAAACAAAAAGAAAAGAAAATTGAAATGATATTATGCTAGGATTTAAAGATTTAAGTAACGGGTTTTTGGATAACGGTACTGTTAAATAGATAGAATTTAGGGAAATAATTGAGTAAAGTATTAAGTTGTGTTATTTGAAAATGTAAAATAATATGTTGGGATAAATAGTAAAAAAGAAGATGTTATATTGGGAGTAATAGTTAAAATATAATTTAAACACTGATAACAATTGTAATGATTTGAATATTATTAAGAATACACTTAACTAAACTTATTTTTTATTTTTTCTTTATATTTTATAAGATGGTAATTTGTGGAGATGTGAAAAAATTGGTTGTTTTCTTGCAGACGTTTCATGACCAAATTTGGTAACATCATCAGAGTTGGTTGGAGGTTGTGCTCTATCCTGATGGTAGATCTTTGCTCTCTTCTGAATGGGAAAGTCTAAGCTTTATGGTGGAATGACTCCACCCGATGCATTGCCCGTAACTCTCTTCTTAGTCGTTCAAAGGTTCTCTGACTTGCTTGTGACCTAACAGGCCAACGTACCATCGGAGTCATCACCAAGTTGGACCTCATGGATGAAGGAACCGATGCGCGTGATGTTCTGGAGAACAAGCTGCTTCCATTAAGGAGAGGTAAAGGTCCTTTCCCTTGTTCTCTTAGACTAGAATAGAATAACAGAGTCGGAAGGGACCTTGGAGGTCTTCTAGTCCAATCCCCTGCTTAGGCAGGAAACCCGACACCACTTCAGACAAATGGTTGTCCAATCTCTTCTTAAAAACTTCCAGTGTTGGAGAACTTCTGGAGGCAAGTTGTTCCACTGATTAATTGTTCTCACTGTCAGGAAATTCATCCTTAGTTCTAAGTTGCTTCTCTCCTTGATTGGTTTCCACCCGTTGCTTCTTGTCCTGCCTTCAGGTGCTTTGGAGAATAGCTTGACTCCCTCTTCTTTGGGGCAGCCCCTGAGATTTTGGAAGACTGCTATCATGTCTCCCCTCGTCCTTCTTTTCATTAAACTGGACATACCAGTTCCTTCATATGTTTTAGCCTTCAGTCCCCTAATCCTCTTTGTGGCTCTTCTCTGCACTTTTTCTAGAGTCTCCACATCTTTTTTTACATTGTGGCCACCAAAACTGGATGCAGGATTCCAAGTGTGGCCTTACCAAGGCATTATAAAGTGGTATTAAGACTTCACGTGATCTTGATTCTATCCATCTGATTATGCAGCCTAGAACTGTGTTGGCTTTTTTGGCAGCTGCTGCACACGGCTGGCTCCTATTTAAATGGTTGTCCACTAGGACTCCAAGATCCCTCTCAGAGTTACTACTATTGAGTGAGCTATCACCTGTACGGTACCTATGCATTTTGTTTTTCTTGCCTAAGCCTCTTTTCATTTCTCTGCCAAATCTTGCTGAAAACTTTCAGTTTTCCCAAAAACGATAATTCCAGCTTGTAAAAAAATCAGACTGCCCAGATTCCACTGAGAATTCACTCCCAACGAGCTTGTCAAATTCCTTCCCACTTACGTCTATCTTTCTCTCTGTATATCTTTCTCTTTCTCTTTTATTAGATTTGTATACCACCCTTCTCCTTTCGGACTCAGGGCGGTGAACAGCCAATATAAAAACATTTGTACACAAAAGTTAAAATAATTTTTTAAAAATAATTCAATGAAATTTGGCCCATAATTTAAAACATTTCAATTAAAAATCAGTATCAAACGTTAAAACCAACATGGAATCAGGCCAGCCCGACTAACTGAAAAAGTAAGTTTTTAGGGCCCGACGAAAAGTCCGGAGGTCTGGGATCACTCGTATCTCTGGGGGTAGATCGTTCCAGAGGGTAGGTGCCACCACATATATATAAAAGACAAACAGTTAAGTCGTTTCTTCTTAGATGCCTCAATTCTTTTTTTTTTTTTGAAAATTGTTTTATTTTTAAACAAAACTTCAAACATAAAAATTATCATCCATTACAATTACAGAAAGTGTATTGATCGGTTACAAATCTTTTGTGCTTAATCCTCTATCCAACGTTTTCTTATTTAACAGTTTATTACATTATTATTCTCATTTATCAATTATTTAATAGTAAATTATGCCTCAATTCTTTTATACCGTCTATTTCTAGGAATCTGGGAATTCTTTGATTAGCATCCTGTTGTTTTGAAGAAGGAAAAAAAAATCCATGTTCTCATTTTTCCCTGATAGAATTAAAGTTGAGGGAATATAGCAGAATTTCCTGGATGGCTTCTTATCTTCATTCTTTGATAGATGCTAACGGGAAGGAAACGATTTCCGAGGCATCCTGTCCATTGTTAAAGAGGGGAAATACACACAATTGTGTGTGGCCTCAGATTCTAGTTTCAAATCCTCCCCTTTTTTCTGCCCAGCCTCCCTGCTAGGGTTCATACAATCTTAGCGCCTGATTTATTCTGATTTATTGGATTTACGCAAACTTGGAACTGTCCCAAAGATGTTGGAGTGTTGAGAACATGACATCTTTAAAAATAAAAAAAAAAGCTGGTGAGATTCAAACTTGAACGAGACGGGCTGCAAATAAATCTGATCAACAGACCATTCTCGGCATTGACAAAATCCCCATCGGTCAATTGCAGAAGGCAGCTTTGTTTGGAACGGCTTACATCCTGCGAGGAGACCTTTAATCCCATCAAACATCCACATCCGTCTCTCCCAGGTCTTCGGGAAAGATGTGATAGGTCGTCAGGAATGCCAAATGCAGCCTGAACATCCGGCTGACTGCGACGAACAATAATTTGATATCGATGGAGATTCTCAATCATCCAGGCCAGGATTGTCCCGAAGGTGCTCTTTTCAAGAGGCAATGGGACTTTCTTTGAAGACGTTTGGCTTCTCATCCAAGAAGCTTCTTCAGCTCTGACTGGATGGTGAGGAATGGAAGGATTTATACTCCCTGCAGACAGCTGGTCATTTGCATCCTTTTAGAGAGTCATTGAGGCCACTTGGAGGTCTATCTGTGTCCTCAGGATCACTTGAGTGGTGCAAATGGGTGGTTGAGCCTTCTGGGAACTGTTCTTCTTGGAACTTCTTGGAACAGTTCATTTGCACCACTCAGGGTACCCTGAGATAAACCTCCGAGTGCCCTTAATGACTTGCTAAAAGGATGCAAATGACCAGCTGCCTGCAAGGAGTACAAATCCTTCCATTCCCCACCACCATCCAGGCAGAGCTGAAGAAGCTTCTTGGATGAGAAGTGAAAACATCTTCAAAGAAAAACCGGAAAGTCCAATTGCCTCTTGAAAAAAGCACCTTTGGGACAATAATTTGATGGTGATGATAACAACAACAATGTCAGGTTTCGATGCTATCTCAAAATAAATGAATTTCCAAACTGCCGATCTTTAAGGAAATTTTCTCTTTATTCGAGCACAGCAATCTGATCCTGACTCTTTTCGCGGTCAGTACTGACCTTTGCCCCCCAATCCCTCCCTTTCCGATCCCCAATTCTCTGCTTCTCATTGGCTATCTTCCAAGTCACTTTCCTGATCCCTTCTTCGTCAGATCACAGGAATGTCTCCCCCCCTCTCCCATCTCCGAGGAGACAGAATCTTCAAAGGAATTTAGTAGGCAAAAGTTCAAGCTTCTCCCCTCATTATTATATGTCAGTGCTGGGACGCTGATAAACAACAGGGGTGGGCTTCAAAAATTTTAGCAACCGGTTCTCTGCCTGGTTGCTGGGTGGGGATGGCCATGGTGGGCGATCTCCTGCACCACGGTGGGGGGAGGGGCGTTTTTGCCCTCCCCAGGCTCCGGTGGCTTTTCTCGAATCTCTGGGAGGGTGAAAACTGCCTCCCCAGGCTCCAGAGGCCCTCTGGAGGCCTTCCCAAACTTCCAGTAGGCCCATTTTTCGCCCTCCCTGAGCCTCTGGGCGTGCCCTGCATTTACCTGCATCCAAAACGGGCCGCGTGGGGACTCCGGGGAGGGACGGGGTGGGCGGGACTAGCCAAGAGTGGGATTTGGGGGTTTTCCGAACTGCAGAGAATCTTCGCTAGAGGTTCTCCCAAACCCCCAGCAGCCCACGAACAACAACAACGACTTAGACACTTCTCCATTTTGTAATTTTGGAAGGTAGCGTTTCCAGATGTTTCTCCTCTGATGTCTGGTGTCCTTCCGTAGGTTACATCGGGGTGGTGAACCGCAGCCAGAAGGACATCGATGGGAAGAAGGACATTCAGGCGGCTTTAGCGGCCGAACGCAAGTTCTTCCTCTCCCACCCAGCGTACCGGCACATGGCGGACCGTATGGGCACTCCCTACCTGCAGAAAACTTTGAATCAGGTAACGTTTTCCTGCAGAGCTGCCCGAGTCCCAGAAATCTGCCCATTGGATTCTGTTCTGATCCAAGAGCACGAAGCAGATTCCTTGTCCCAACAGAAAATCCTTTTTTATGAAGTTATTGTGAATTCCTCTCATTCACATCCAGCAAAGTCTTTCAAGGGTGAATTTATAGTCACAGACTTTATCCGGCTTGGAGAGCTGCCAGGCCGATATCTTCAAAACTTGGCCAGGAGTCTCAGAGAGTCACGAACCAATTAAGCGAACTGATTGTCTCCTGTAAACTCCACTCCCCTTTCGCTCCTTTTTTATTCCCTCTGGGAGGGGCCATTCATTGTCCACCTGTGTGGCCTTACTCCCTAGTCGACCCTTGTTCTTTAGCTGTTCCCTTTGTCTGGCAACTCTGTGCATGCGCACACTGGGAACAAGATCCAGCTGTTCGTCTGCCTCACTGATGTCGGACTCCGAAGGCAGCTGACAACTGTCAGACGGCCCTGTCCCCCTCTCTGCCTCAGACACAGAGCCCTCATCAGAGCCTTCCCCAGACTCCAGGACTGGCCCATGTTCCTCCCCAACCTCCTCACTGTCTGAGTCTGCCACCAGCTCCACTGGCCACTGGTGGGCCACAACAGATCCAAAGTCCTCACTTTACAATCGTTCAAAGTTACGACAGACCCCCCCCCCACATACCCCCAAAGCTATTTACAACCTGATTTCGAAGTTACGATGGCCACAGGCCCCCTCCCCTCACCCCATGGTCACGTGATCGCATTTCGGGGGCTTGGCAACCGGCTCACCTTTATAGCTGTCTGCAGCATCCCGCGGTCACCTGTCCGTGATTTTTGATGGGGTTTTTTTTTTTTGCTGATTTCCAGCATTTGCTTCCAGTTTCCAGCAAAAAAAAAAAAAAAACACCCACGCCTGTTAAATAAAATAGACTCACTTAATAGCAATAGCACTTAGATTTATACACCGCTTTGCAGTGCTTTTACAGCCCTCTCTAAGTGGTTTACAGAGCCAGCCTCTTGCCCCCAACAATCTGGGTCCTCATTTTACCCACCTCAGAAGGATGGAAGGCTGAGTCAACCTTGAGCCTGGTGAGGTTTGAACTGTCAAATTGCAGGCAGCCGGCAGGCAGCAGAAGTAGCCTGCAGTACTGCACTCTAACCCCCTGTGCCACCACGGCTCCTGTTAGATAAAATGGACTCACTTAATGACGGTGGAGTTTCCTTCCTGTGTCGTTTGCCTAACAACCACCGCGGAAAAAGGCCTCTTAAGACGATCAAGACTTGTCCAAAGCGTGAAGCTACTGAAGGAAGGAGGAACCTATTAAAAATAGGATTTTGGCTAGGATTCTGATCCCCATTTTCGCTTCTGTTGTGGCAGCAACTGACCAATCATATCCGCGACACGCTGCCAGGCCTGAGGAACAAGCTCCAGTGTCAGCTGCTGTCGATTGAGAAGGAAGTAGAAGAATACAAGAATTTTCGTCCGGATGATCCTGCCCGCAAGACCAAAGCTTTGCTCCAGTAAGTCCGACGTTGTATTGATAGTTGGGAAGACGGGACGAAGTAGGAACTTTGTACGCCAATCAAGGCAGGGGTGAAATCCAGCAGGTTCGGCAGAACCGGTAGCAGAAATTTTGAGTAGTTCGGAGAACCGGTAAATAAACCACTTCTGACTGGCCCCAGAGTAGGGTGGGAATGGAGATTTTGCCCACCAAGCCACGCCCACAGAACCGGTAGTAAAAAAAAAAAATTGAATTTCACCACTGAGTCAAGAACGTTCCATAAAAGTTCCATCAGCCCAGACTATGGACTATAACGGGTGTCAGCAATCTGGGGCTCCGGAGCCGCATGTGGCTCTTTGGGCCCTCTGCTGTGGCTCCCTGTTTGGGTGATCCCACCACTGGCTGGCCCCGCCCCTCGCCCTCCCCTCCCAGTCAGTCCTCACCTGGTCTGAGAAGGTAAGGGCGACGGTGCGGGATGGAGAAGCAGCCAGGGCAGAGAGAGAGAGATACAGAGAGAGGGGGAGAGAGAGACATAGATACGGAGAGAGAGAAATGTCAAAAGGGCTTTGTGGTTCCCGGTGTTTTTTAACAACTGGTTCTCTGCCCTAATGACTGGCTGGGTAGGCGTGGCTAAGGGGGGGTGTCATGTGACTAGTGGAAGTGAGTGACATTGAGTTGGCCACGCCCACTCAGGTTTTGTGGCTCCCGGTGTTTTCTTTTCTGTGGGAAATGAGTCCGAATGGCTCTTTGAGTGTTTAAGGTTGCAGACCCCTTAATTTATTTATTTATTTATTTATTTATTTATTTATTTATTTATTTATTTATTTATTTATCAAATTTCTATACCGCCCTACTCCCGGAGGACTCAGGGCGGTGAACAGCCAAGATAAAATACAGATAATACAAACATTAAAAGTCCGTTAAAATTATTAAATATTTTGGCCGAAAAACACATTAAAACACCCAATTTATAAAATCAAACGATTTAAAAAATTTAAAAGGGAGAGTTAGGCCAGGCCAGCCTGCTGAAATAAAAAAGTTTTGAGAGCACAACGAAATGTGCGCAGATCCGGGATTCTCCGTATCTCTGGGGGGAGCTCGTTCCAGATGGTAGGTGCCCCCACAGAGAAGGCTCTCCCCCTGGGGGCCGCCAGTCGACACTTTTTGGCCGACAGCACCCTGAGAAGCCCCTCTCTATGGGAGCGTAGTGGTCGGTGGGAGGCTATTGGTAGCAGAAGGCGGTCTCGTAAATACCCCGGTCCGATGCCATGGAGCGCTCTAAAGGTGGTAACCAAAACCTTGAAGCGCACCCGGAAGACCACCGGGAGCCAGTGCAGCTCGCGTAGGAGGGGGCTCACATGGGAGCGCCACGCCCCGCTGTATTATAAGCAGAAGGTTAGGATTCTGAAGGTAAGGCCACACCTAGAGTATGGCATCCCGTTTTGATCACCATATTATAAAAAAGATGTGGAGACTCTAGAAAAAGTGCAGAGAAGAGCAACCAAGATGATTCGGGGACTGGAGGCTCAAACATACGATGAACGGTTGCAAGAACTGGGCCTGGATAGTCTAGTGAAGAGAAGGACCAGGGGAGACAGGATAGCAGCCTTCCAATATTTGAGGGGCTGCCACAGAGAGGAGGAAGGGGGGTCAACCAATTCTCCAAAGCACCTGAAGGCCAGACAAGGAATAATAGATGGAAACTGATCAAGGAGAGATTCAACCTAGAAATGAGGAGGAATTTTCTGACAGTGAGAAAAATCAACCGATGGAACAGAAGTTGCCTTCAGAAGTTGTGGGAGCTTCATCCCTGGAAGCTTTCAAGAAGAGACTGGACTGTCATCTGTCAGAAATGGTGTAGGGTCTCCTGCTTGGGCAGGAGGTTGGACTAGATGACCTACAAGGTCCCTTCCAACTCTGTAAATCTGTTAAGGTCCGTCAATGTTCTTGGAAACCAAGTGGAAGCTAGAGCAGATATTTCCACCATAACCATCTCTCTCTCCTCCTCCTCCAGGATGGTCCAGCAGTTTGCTGTGGATTTTGAGAAACGCATCGAAGGTTCTGGAGATCAGATCGATACCTATGAACTCTCCGGTGGTGCTCGGATCAATCGTATCTTTCACGAACGATTCCCATTTGAGCTTGTGAAGGTAAAACGAAACCTCTGTTGAGTGTTTAGGCACTTATCCTCATATCTTGATGTCCTTCTTGATCCATATCTCCCAGGTTGTCTCTTTAGGTCTGTCTTAAGACCTAAAACATAAACTTAGACCTATAAGTCCAGAACCTTTAGGTTCTAACTCAAGACAGCGCTACGTAACTTTATTCAGTTTTGATTGATATCATTAACATTGAAATGTTAAGTATTCCAGTATTTGAGGGGCTGCCACAAAGAAGAGGGATAGTAGTCAAATTATTCTCCAAAGTGCCAAAGGGCAGGACAAGAAACAATGGGTAGAAACTAACCAAGTAGACAAGCAATCTGGAATTAAGGAGAAGCTTCCTAACAGTGATGACAATTAACCAGTGGAACAGCTTGCCACCAGAAATCAGGGGCGCTGCATCACTGGAGATTTTTAAGAAGAGACTAGACCCGTGATGGCGAACCTATGACACGTGTGCCACAGGTGGAACACGGAGCCATATCTGTGTGCACGCAAGCATTGCCCTAGCTCAGCTCCAGCACGCATGCGCGCACCGAACAGCTGATTTTTGGGCCTTCCGGGCCCACCGGAAGTCGGGAAATGGCTCATTTCTGGCCTCCGGGGGGGTGGGGGGTGAGGGAGGCCGTTTTCGCCCTCCCCAGGCTCCAAGAAAGCATCCTTCCCTTTCTCTTTCCCTTTCCCTTTCCCTTCCCTTCCCTTCCCTTCCCTTCCCCTCTTCTCCTTTCCTCTCCTCTCCTCTCCTCTCCTCTTCCGTTCCGTTCTGTTCTCTTCCCTTCCCTTCCCTTCCCTTCTTCTCCTCTTTTCTCTCTCTTCTCTTCTCTTCTCTTCTCTTCTCTTCTTCTCTTCTTTTCTCTCTCTTCTCTTCTCTTCTCTTCTTCTCTTCTCTTCTTTTCTCTCTCTTCTCTTCTCTTCTCTTCTCTTCTCTTCTCTTCTCTTCTCTTCTATTCTATTCTATTCTATTCTATTCTATTTCAAATCAAGGTAGAACACTTCCAGATACCCTCAAAATGGTTAATTCCCCAATTCCTAAGCAGTTGTAAGATTTCATCCATCTTGCAGCAAAGCATCAGATCACTTAAGGCTAGAGTTTTAATAATGATATGGACAGTGGGAATTTGTCCGATATAAAGAAAGACGGTGCTAGGACATCCGTACACTTACGTTCTAGATGCTAAGCTGGCTTCTCCACCATCCCCATCGTGCTTTTCAGTAAGCATGTAACTTTGTTACAGCAGAATTTATTGTACACCCTCCAGAGTCATGTACGGTGAGATGGACGGCGATATAAATGCGATAAACAAAAATAAATAAATAAATAACCATCTCCCATGGCGATTAGAAGATTATGAACATCTGGAAGATGTTTGGCAGGACAAGGCTGCTCTTGTAGGACTACCCAACAGAGGAATTTTAAAAAAAATTGATGATGTTACTAGGAATGTCGGAAGATGTCCCATCACCGCTCCAGATTAAAGAAGGTTGATCTACACTAGTGGCCAAAATTGTGGAAACCTTTTGGGAAAAGTTGTATTTTCTAAAATTAGCTAATAACACCACTTTTTGGGGGGAGTCGTACCATAAAATTATATATCAGTGGAAAGATAATTTAATCAAGAATGCAATGCAATCACTTTCATGAAGGATTTGCTATTAGAATAGCCGTTACAGTATAAAGAAGAAAAGGGAAACATAATAGAAAAAAAATGAGATATACAGAAATGATCCCCATAGAAAAAATGAGATATACAAAAATGATCACCATGTCAGTGAATACTTCGTTGGGTAACCTTTAACATGAATGATGACCTTACAACATCTTCTCATGGAGTGAAGGAGTGAACCAAGTCTTTTAGTTCTGCAGCTGTTATCATGTGAAACCAAGATTGAAGGATGGCTTCTATGAACTGGGTTTTATTGTTGGGTCGCTTCTGATTAACAAGTTTCTTTAGTCAAAAAATCCATAGATTTTCCATTGGGTGAAGGTTTGGGCTATTCCCAGGCCATTCCAGCAGTGGAATAGGATTATCTTGAAATGCCAAAAAAACAGTGGTGTTATTAGCCATCAAACCTTAAAAAAAAAACCACCAGTTTTTCCAAAAGATTCCCACTACTGTCCCTCTTTCCCTGTGAATCCTTGGAGTCTATAAAATAATGTGGATTGTTCTTCTCTTGGGGTTCCTCATCCGTGTCTCCCTTTCTCCTGCTGCAGATGGAATTTGACGAGAAGGAACTCCGAAGAGAGATCAGCTATGCGATTAAGAACATCCATGGTATCAGGTACGTATTGATGGTCTCCTAACTTCTTCTGACCATAACTCTAGAATTCTCAGGCCAGAAGACTTCAGAGGTAGGGTAGGTTGGCTCAAATACCTGCCAGGACCACTGACTTTGAAACGGTTTGGTGGGTTCTGCTATGACTTATTCGTGGCCGCACGTTCTTCCTCCTGAGATAAAGTCTCCTATGTTGGGAAGAAGATACGTTGTCCCAAAGACGACAAGGAGGTGGGGAAGTTAGGATCACTTGCTCATGGATAATTTTAGGTTGCTTTTCTGAATACTGACCAGAGCTCAGCTTCATAATCTTGTAGAGATCCAGTAATATATATGAAGCTTCTCAGATAAGACTTTCTAAAGGTCCAAACCAAAGGAGTTAGACTCGCCACCATCCGTAGACCGGACAGCAGAGCCCAACCCTATTATTGTTGACGTCCCTCAAGGACGGGATGCTTTATCATTTGGTAGAATTTGATCTTGGAGCTCAACGAACCAAGTTGGCCCCATCCATACCAAACCAAGGTGCAAAAGGAGACACGGCTTTTGGATTCTACTCTTCTCCGATGAGTGACCAGGTTAAATCAACGTTGAAATATGCTTTAATATATACCTGGTGCAGGAGGGCACAGTATATTAAAGCATATTAAATATGCTTTAATATATATCTGGCGCAGATTGCTGCAGAAGCTTGCCAGAAGAGTTATGTACAGCATGAGATGTATGATGTTTAAGCATTTAATTTTAAATTTCATCATAAGCCAATATAGGTAGATGCGAGATGGCATAGGCTTTACAGTAGTGGCCAAAATTGTGGAAACATTTTGGGAAAAGTTGTATTTTCTAAAACTACCTAATAACATCACTTTTTTTTGGGGAGTAGTACCATAAACTTAGATATCAATGGAAAGATAATTGAATCAAGAATGTAATGCAATCCCTTTTAGGAAGGATTTGCTATTAGAATAGCAGTTACAGGATAAAGAAGAAAAGGGAAACACATAGAAAAAAACGAGATATATAGAAATTATCCCCATGTCAGTTAATCCTTCGTTGGGTAACCTTTAGCATGAATGACGGCCTTACAACGTCTTCCCATGGAGTCTTTTAGTTCTGCAGCTGTTATAATGTGATACCAAGATTGAATGATGGCTTCTATTAACTGGGTTTTATTGCTGGGTCGCTTCTGACTAACCAGTTTCTTTCGTCGGCTCCATAGATTTTCAATTGGGTGAAGGTCTGGGCTATTCCCAGGCCATTCCAGCAGTGGAATAGGATTATCTTGAAATGCCAAAAAAAAAGTGGTGTTATTAGCCATCAAACCTCTAAAATACACTTTTCCCGAAAGGTTTCCACAATTTTGGCCACTACTTTAGAAATGAAATTGCCCAAAATGGAGGTTGATGGAGAATAGCTGCCTGATTTGGTCATCCCTGTCTAAGGAGCTTTGCCATCAAAATTGGCTTGGCTTGGCTTGCAATGTTCAATTTTTACACCACAGAAAGCCCACTAAAGAAAGTGTGTTGAGGAGACCAGCCCCAAGATCTACTTTTTCCCCAACTCTCTTCATGAGATGGCTTGATGATCCCCAACCACTTCATTTTCCCACAAGGGATGGGTTCATGGAGAGTCCTTGGTGTTTTCTGAGCTTGGTTAAAGCCCAGAGAGCACCAAGGACTTCACAGTTCAACCTTTAGCTCCAGAGATTCTCTTCCCTTGGGACAGGCTCATGTTTGGGCAGGACTTCTCCATAAACTTTGAGTCTCAGGCAACGTTGCAGGATCTCAGTTCCCAAACTGACCATCCAACTACATCTCCTAAAATGATCATACAATTCTGGAAAACGCAAGGTGTCCCAGAACTTGGAGAAGACTAGGAGAAGGTTTGCTGACTGTCCTTTGTGAATGGAGTTGGATCCCTGAAGGATGAAGGTCAGGAAGCTGGTTGAATAGACCTGAGGGACAGTGGGGATCCTTGGTGCTCTCTGAGCTTGGTGGTTTTCTCACAGACATTTCATGACCAAACTAGAGAACATCATCAGTAATGAAACGCTTCCCAAACAACCACCAAGCTCAGAGGACACCAAGAATTCCACAATTTAATCCTGAGCTCCAGAGAGTCCCTTCGCTTGGACAGGCTCATGTTGGGCAGGACTTCTTGAGTCCCAAGCAACGTTGCAGGATCTCAATTCCCAAATTACCATCCAACTACATCTCCTAAAATGATCATACACAAGGTGTTCCAGAACTAGGAGAAGACTAGGAGAAGGTTTGCTGACTATCCTTTGTGAATGGAGTTGGATCCCTGAAGGATGAAGGTCAGGAAGCTGGTTGGATAGACCTTAAGGATTGTGGGGATCCTTGATGTTCTCTGAGCTTGGTGGTTTTCTCGCAGATGTTTCATGACCAAACTTGGGAACATCATCAGTAATGAAACGTCTCCAAGAAAACCCCCAAGCTCAGAGAGCACCAAGGACCCCACAATTCAACCTGAGCTACAAATATTTTCTTCTAACAAGAACTTAGTTGACCCACCATGGCCTGTCCTTCTGGGCTTCACGTTTCCCTCCTCGAGGGGCAGGCTGACTCTCTGCGTCATAGGCACCCCCTTTTATTATCCTTTTATGCAATGCGATGACGTTCTCCTAGACCTATCTCCTTCCGACCTTGTCCTCTTGTCCTCCTCCTCTAACCGCCACCACTACCCCGCGTGCGTAGAACTGGTCTCTTCACGCCTGACATGGCTTTTGAGACCATTGTAAAGAAGCAAGTCAAGAAGATTAAAGAGCCTTGCTTGAAATGCGTGGACATGGTCATTTCGGAGTTAATCAATACGGTTAGACAGTGCACCAAGAAGGTAAACCCGGGAAGGGGGGGAGCATGGGAACCCCGACATGCTCGCGACCCACCCCACCCCACCACCAGCAGCAGCCGAAGCCCAGCATTTCTGATCTAGGGGGGCTGATCCCGCCTGGCGCAAACATCCTCTTGTTTTCTTCTGGGTTGCCCTTCTTCACAGCATGACTAGACCTGAGCGAACCCTGCTTGATATTTCCTAGCCAATCAGAAAAGCCACGGCGATGCTAAAGAGGGTAAAATCCGGGCTTTCAGTGTTTCTCTGATCAAAGTTTTGGGGGCCCGGAATTATTCTGGGATTCAACAAGGTCAAGACGGAGGATAATTGCTTGCTATTCGCTTTATAGAGTTGGGGTGTTTTGGTTTTTTTTCCCCCTAAAAGAAAACTAAAATGGCCGCCATCTCTCATGTTTCCATTTAATGCTCGGGAGACCTACAATTTGGAGAGACCAATTTTGTAAGGCAAAAACGGAGGTAGGATTTTAAAGAGTGGGTACAATTCTCCCGGCCACGTCAGTGTGATTTTTTTCTTTGAGATTTGATAAGAGCGGGTAATTGCAAAATTAAATCCGCTAGTGCTTTCCTTCACCTAGATTGGCTTCCTCTGTTGCCTTCTTTCTTTTCTTCTTCTTCTTCTTTTTTTTTTTTCAAAATTGGGATATTCTACTGAAGATCCTTCCCTTTGCCAAAGTGTTTTTTTTTTTTTTGAAATATTTGATCCATGTTGGCAGAATTCTCCCACAACTTGAGGAAGGAAGGTGAAGTGATGTACTCTCTAATATAGCTAGTTGGGTCTCACTCATTTTTTTTCATCCCCAAATCTGAAAAAACTATATATACATTTTGGAACAATCAAATCACATGTTTTTCAAACTGTTCTTGGAACCCAGAACACGTTTTTGGAATCCATAACAACCGACAATTCAACAGTTCCATTTTGGAACCGTTGAACCAACTCTGCCACTCTTAAAATCCTATCTCTGTTTTCACCTTTGAAATATTGACCTGAGTTGGGTCTTCAGATTCTGAAGATCTCAAAAATGGTATTGTAGGGCTCTGTTTTTACATCTCCAGAGCTTGGCCTGGTTTTCTGATTGGCTTAGTCTGGGTCCTGCCCCCAAAGGGTGAAGATCATCAATTTAGGAATGCCTTCCTCTCTCAGTTGCTCACGGAAAGGGTGGCCTTGAAAGATACCAGATACGCTAACGTATGGATTCAGAGGAACGCATAGAAAGGTTCCAATCTCAGCTATTCGTTTTCCAACGCTGAAGAAAAATAATAATGGGAGACGGCAAGGGAAAGTCAAGACCCTCAAGCGAGATGGTGGTTGAAGTTCTTTCTTCAACAGCGAAAAGGCATTTGACTAAAAATGTGGGAACCTGTAACTTGACCCATCTTGGACAAGCTATTGGCCAGTAGGGAGCAGGTAAGGGGATGGGGAAGAGATGGAGGGAGCTTGAGAAGGCTCTTGGTGGTAGACAGTCCCCAGCAAAGGACAAGATTCATGTCTACTTTGGCAAGAAACTGCCGTATGGTTGGTTTAGGGTCCTTTGACAAAACGGGCATATCTGTTGCAGGTTCCTCAAGGTTCTAGAATGCTGGGAGAAGTTTTCTTTTTCTATCCTGCTGTCTTGGGGTGGGGAGGGGTTCCTGTATCTATGAGGAGCACCCAGAAATTTGCCATTCGCTCCTGGTAATCACTAGCCCTTGGGCTGCCAAGTATACAGTGTCATCTGAACGATGGGAATCGGAAGACCCGATCTTCCTCAGTCTGCCCTCCCCGTTAATTTTCCTATGAGTCTCAAATCCACATTCTTTGCTTTTTCCTTAAGCCCCTTTCTGCTTCTGAATTTATTTCTTCCCTTATTTCTTCCCTTCCACCTCCTTTCTCCGTTACGTTTTTTTCCTCCCTCTTCCCACCTCCCTCACCCACTCCGAAGAGCAGAAAAATCCATACCTCTAAGAGAGTCTTTTATAAAACTGACCTGTTCTGAAGAACAGGAGAAGGAAGAATGGGGGAAAAAAGGAAGGAAGGAAAAGAAGGAAGGAAGGAAGGAAGGAAGGAAGGAAGGCTGATTATAGCATGCTGGCTGAGGAAATTTGAAGTCCAAAATTTGAGTTGAAGTCCACGCATCTTAAAGGGACCAAGGTTGAGAAACATTGATCTGGTAGATGTTAAGGCTGAATAAGTTTTGGCTCAGGTGGCCTAGACATATCTTCGAAACGCAATGATTTTAAGAAGACAGGAAGTTTTAACTCGGTTTCCAAAGTTAAAGTCTCTTAGGGAGATAAGCGTGTTGCCAACACCTGCGTAGCTATATCTTCTTCACGTTCTCAAGATGTCACACTTTCCTTGTTCCCTTGAAATGTCCACCCTGAGCGAGTCGGTCAACCACGTTAAGAGAAGAAGGAAAAACCAAGCTGGATCCCAGTCTTGGTTTGAGAGAGGAGAGGAGGACAAGAACGGGAAGATCCATCTTTGCGTGTCCCCCTTCATCGTTTTTTTTTTTTTAAAAAAATACTAATCCCATAGCTTTGCCATTCCCCATCCTTTTTCTAACCTGCAGAATTTACTAGATACTTGGCAGCACATGGAACCCTGTAGTGATGCCCTCTTGGGGGAACATCTGTCCGTGGAGCGAGCGATCCAAGAAAAAAAAGAAAAGAGAAAAGAGAACTCACTTCTGTCTCTGTTTACCTTGTGTTTTTTTTCTCTTCTTCTTTTCTTTCTCCTCTCTCTCTCTCTCTCTCTTTTTGACTCTCTCCTCTTTCCGTCTGCTTCACGCCTTCCTTCCCTCCTCATGGCTGCTTCTTCTCCCTCCCTCCCTCTCTCCCATTCACCTTCCCCACCCACCCCCACCCCACCCCGCTCCTTTTCATCGTGCAGAACTGGCCTCTTCACGCCTGATCTCGCTTTTGAAGCCATAGTGAAAAAGCAAATGCAAAAACTGAAGGAGCCCTGTTTGAAGTGTGTGGACATGGTAGTCAGTGAACTCACGTCTACCATCAGAAAGTGTAGCAACAAGGTAAAAATCCCGCGAAGGAGGGAGAGAACTACTTCCCCACCCGCTTCCGTATAAAAAAAACAAAAAACGATGCCTTTTTGCGGGCACGTGGGCACACACACAGAGGAACCCACATGATGTGCCCATGTGTCTCCTTTTTTTGGGGGTTAGACTTAGACTTCCTTAGAAAGTATACAGCACAATCTTAGTCCCGGCAAACCTCTTTTATTCATACGGCTGTGAATTATATTGTCATTCCCAGTCCGAAAGGCTTCTCAAACAGTCTTTCAGGGGAGTGTTTACAAACACCCACCTTATCTACCTTGGAATGCAGCCAGAGAGCTAATTGCCAAACGCAGGGCAAAGCCAAACTTAGCACAGAGTCAAACAGAGCTTTTCCAAAGCTTTTACTGACCAGATAAACTAATTGCTTCCTGCAAAAGCTCACTTCCCATTCGCTTCTCTTTTATGTCTTATGGGAGGGGCCAATCGTCTCCAAGCCTTACTCCCAAGTCGACCCTGTTTCCTTAATTGTTCCTGTATTCTGGCAGCTCTGCGCATGCGCACAGTGGGAACAGGCTCCCGCTGTTCTTCTGCCTCGCTGATGTCAGACTCCGGAGACTCCGGAGGCAGCAAAGAACTACCAGATGGCCTTGGCCCCCTGAATTGGAGCCCTCGTCCGAGCCTTCCCCTGACTCCAGGACTGGCCCACATTCCTCCCCAACCTCCTCACTGTCCGACTCTGCTGCCAGCTCTGCTGGCCGCTGGTGGGCCACAACAGGGATGATGGGGTGAAGATGCTTGTTGGGCCATAAGTAGACAGGTTCTAGCTCTGAAGGACAAGGGAGAAGATGGTTGGGTTTCTATCTTCTCCTTCTTCTGAGTGCTTCGAAGTCCTGGGATGGCCACTCAACGAGAAAACTAATCTGAGATGTTCTTAAAATGTCCTCCTTGCCGTCTGGAGCAAACTCTTGGTCTGAATGTCTATGGAGATTCTCAGTCATCCAAGTCACGGTTGTCCCAAAGGTGTTTTTTGAAGAGGCAGTTGGACTTCCTTGGTTTTTCCTGGAAGAGGTTTCACTTCTCATCCAAGAAGCTTCTTCAGCTCTGGCGTAGCTAAATGTCTATGGAGATTCTCAGCCATGCAGGTCATGGTTGTCCCAAAGGTGTTTTTTGAAGAGGCAATTGGACTTCCTTGGTTTTTCCTTGAAGAGGTTTTGACTTCTTATTCAAGAAGCTTCTTCAGTTCAAGTCTAACCAGGGTTTCGCCCTGATGCCCAAGAACGACCAAATCCGTTTTTTCCCCGATTTCTTCTTGTTGGCACCTATCTGAAATTTTAATTTCTTTTAAACCCTCATTTCTTAACCTTTCTTCTCCTCGTATTGGCATTCCATTAATTTACAAAAAAAAAAAAAAAAGTGTTAAATAGGCGAGAACCACGGTCACCGAACAGTAGAATTGTGCTATTTCAATCCTGTTCCAAAAATCGCAATTCAGGATCCATGTTAAAGGGGTACAGTTTTTTTTTTAAGGACATCTGGATACCGTTAGATGGCGCCACACGCCTCCTGAACATGGCACTTTGGCTCTCTCGATTCACCCAGCGAACAAACCACCAGAAACAAACTTCAGATTCTCAAGTTTTGACTTTGATCTGTAACGAAGACCAAAAACCTCGACGGCGCAGCTTCTCGGACGTATTTCAAAGACTGGATCCAGGCAGGGCGAGGAAGGCTTTTGGGGCGGGACCAAGAATGAGAAAAGAAAAGGATGAAATAATGTCCTTATTTGAGGAAAATAACAGATGTGTTTTTCGATGCAACAGCAAAAGGGGAGGTCTTGGTGAAGGTTTGCTGATCAGTTGGGCCAAGCCACAACCGTCTTAAAAAAGCAGCTGCGTTGTTGAAATGGATGTTGTTGCAAACAACCTCCTTACAAGGAGGATCAGAAAGAGATGCCCGAGAGGGATTTAATTTTCCGCTGCGGATTCTCTGA